TATGATTCTTTTTATTTCTGAGGCATCTGTTGTAATGTGATTTTTTATTTTATGTGCATCTTCTCTCTGATTTTCTTAGACGAGCTAAGGGTTTGTCAACTTTGTCAAAAAACAGTTTTATTCTTTCTATGGCTTTTCTGTTCTCTATTTGACTTATTTCTGTTCTGATTTTTATTTTCTTCCTTCTGCTAAATTTGAGTTTAGTTATTCTTTTTCTAGGTTCTTGAGGTATAATAATATACTTTTTTAAAAATCTAATTTAGGAGTTTATTACTATAAACTTTAATACAGATGTTTATTGCTATAGAACTGGTTTTGTTGTATTCCACAGGTTTTGGTATGTTGTGTTTCCATTGTTGTTTATCTCAGTATACTTTAAAATTTTTCTTGACCTATTTTTTCAGGAGCATCTTGTTTAATATCCACGTATTTGTGAATTTTCCAAGATTTCTCTTATGAATTTTTAGTAACATAACACTGTGGTCTGAAATAATACTAGACATGACTTTAATCTTAAATTTGTTTGTTAAGACTGCATTGTGGCCTAACGTATGCTCTATCCTGGAGAATGTTCCATGTGCCCTGGAGAAAGAAAATGCATATTCTACTACTGTTAGGTGGAAAGTTCTGTATATGTGTCTGTTAGGTCTGTTTGGCCCAAAGTACAATTCAAGTCCAGTATTTCCTTATTAATTTTCTGCTTGGCTCATCTGTCAATTGTTGAAAGCAGGGTATTAAAACCTCCTATTATTATTGTATGCTACCTGTTTCTCCCTTCAAGTGCATTAATATTTGTTTTATATATTTAGGTGCTTCAGTGTTGGGTGCAAATATATTTAGACTGCCTATTTCTACTTGATAATCTGATCCCTTTACCATTAAATAATGTTTTCTCATGACAGTTTTTGACTTAGAGTCTATTTTTATCACATTATTAGTATAGCCACCCCTGTTCTCTTTTGGTTACTATCTGCATGGAATATCTTCTTCTGTCCTTTCACGTTCAGCTTATGTGTGTCCTTAAAGCTTATGTGTGTCTCTTGTAGAGAGCATATAGCTGCATCTTGTTTTTCTTTTAATCCATTTAGTTACTATCTATCTTTTGATTGAGAATTTAATCCATTTAACCCAAGATTATTATTGATAAGTAACAACTTCCCATTTGTATTAGTCCATTCTTGCATTGCCATAAAGTAACACTAAATACTAGGTAATTTATAAATAAAAGAGGTTTAATTGGCTCACAGTTCTGCAGGCTGTAGAGGAAGCATGTCTCTGGCATCTGCTCAGCTTCTGAGGAGGCCTTAGGGAGATTTTACTCATGGCAGATGGCAAAGCAGGAGTGAGCATGTCATGTGGTGAAAACAAGAGAGAGAGTTGGGGGGAGGAGGTGTCACACTTCACAGCAACGAGAGCTCATAAGAACTCACTACTGCAAGGACAGCACCAAGCCATCCCACCTCCAACAGTGGGAATTATAATTCAACATAAGATTTGGCAGGGTCATATATTTAAACTATATCACTGGTTGTTACTGGTTGTTTTGTAGCTATTTTGTTCCTTTCTTCCTCTCTTGTGGTCTTTTGATGTCACAAGTTACATCTCTTTATATTATGTGTTCCCTGACAAATTATTTTAACTTTAGTTACCTTTGACCATCTTGACTCTTAACCTTCATACTAAAGTTATATATGATTTACACACCACCATTATAATATTAGAATATTCTGGGTTTGACTATTTATCAATACTAGTGAGTTTTACACTTTCATATTTATTCATGATAGTGATTATCATCTTTTCACTTCTATTTGGAGAACTCTGTTAAGCATCTCCTGTAATTTAGGTCTAGTGGTAATAAATTGTCTTAGCTTTTTCTTGTCTGTAAAAGACTATTTATCCTTCATTTCTAAATTACATCTTTGGTGGGTATACTATTCTTGGCTAGCAGGATTTTTTTCTTTTTAATTTACCACTTTGAATATATCATTCAGTTCTCTCTTGGCCCACAGGTTTTGGCTGAGAAATCCATTGAGAGTCTAATGGAGATTCCCTTACATGTGACTTGACACTATTCTCTTGCTGCTTTTAAAATTCTGACTTTTGACAGCTTGAGTATAATGTGCCTTGGGGAGGACTTCTTTGGGTTCAGTCTTTTTGGGGACTTTAAACTTCATGGAATTAAATGTTCATCTCTCTCCAAAGATTTGGGAAGTTTTCAGCAATTATTTTATCAAATAAGCTTTCTGTCCCCTTTTTTGTTCCCTTTTTCTCTGAAACTCCCATAATGTGGATATTTGTTTAATAATATCCTATACATCTGATAGGCTGTTTTCACTCTTCTCATTTTTGTCTCTTCTGAGTCATTTCAAAAGATCTGTCTTGAAGTACACAGATTCTTTCTGCTTGATCTAGTCTGCTGTTGAAGCTCTCAACTGTATTTTTTATTTAATTAATTAAATTCTTCCGCTCCAAGATTTCTATTTGGCTCTTTTTAGTGATATCTATCTTTTTGTTAAATTTCTCATTCAGGTCATAAATTATTTTCCAGATTTCTGTGAATTGTTTATCTGTACTCTCCTATATCTTTCTAAGTTTCCTTAAGATAATTACTTTGAATTCCTTTTCAGGCAATTGGTAAAATTTTTCTGATCCATGAACACTTTTTTTCATGCTTGTTGGCTGCATATATATCATCTTTTGAGAAGTGTCTGTTCTTGTCCTTTGCCCACTTTTTAATGGGGGTTTTTCTTATAAATTTAAGTTTCTTGTAGATTCTGGATATTTAGTCCTTTGTCAGATGGATTAATTGCAAAATTTTTCTCCTATTCTGTAGGTTATTTTACTCTGATGATAGTTTCTTTTGCTGTGCAGCTGTTTGGTTTAATTATTTCCCATTTGTCCATTTTTGCTTTAGTTGCAATTGGTTTTTGGCATTTTTGTCATCAAATCTTTGCCCCTGCCCATGTCCTGAGTGGTACTGCCTAGGGTATTTATAGTTTTGGGTTTTACATTTAAGTCTTTGATCTATCTTGAGTTAATTTTTGTATATGGTATAAGGAGGGTGTCCAGCAAAACTGGGTAACTTCTTAACATGTTTGTTCCTTAAAGTTTACCTTTCATCTGAAATAAAATTCTAAAATAGTAGTTATTAAAATGTATATTAGTCAAGTAAAGCTTAAGATGGCCAACACAGGAAATGCAGTGGGCCTTCTTCATGTGTGTGTATATGTATATAATTATGCAGATATATATTACTATACATGTGTATGGTAATAATAGTGTATTAAAAGCTGAAATAAATGTAAAAGACCTGCACCTTTCCCACAACCAATGGTATCCACTGAAGTCACCATTAAGAATTTCTTATATATCTTCTCTAAAATATTCCAGGTACATACATGTAAGCATCTGTTTCCTCACCTCACCCCCACATATGTTACCTACTATTCTTGGTGTTTTTCACTTAGCAATATACATTACACTTCATTCCAAAAAGCTAATTTTTTTGTTGTTTTAAATAGCTGTATCATATTCTTTAACTCTATTTCCCTTTAATAGACGTTTAGATTGTTTCAGCTTTTTAGCTATCAGAAACAACTTTAGAATAAACATCTTTGGACATTAACCTCTGTATATCCACAGGATATTTGCCTAGAAGTGCATTTTCCAAATTAATTAAAATACAAAGTTAACATTTTGAAAAAAGATTGCCAATATACTCTCCAAAACTATGTCAATGTGCTATTTTCTGAAATGCAGTTAAGAAAATGTATATTTAATTTATAACTCTTGAAACATCAAATAACATTAAAAATCCTAAGAAATCATCTGCGATTAACTCCATTAGCTATTTTAAATTATTTTCGTAACTAAAAATAATTAAAAGTATGAGTGTTGAAGACAAACAGACATGAGTTCATGTCCCTGATCTGGCACTTTGGACTTGTGTAACTTTTTTTTTTTTTTAAGATATGGGGTCTTACTCTACTGCTCAGGCTGGAGTGCAGTGGCATGATGATAGCTCACTATAGCCTTGACCTCTTGAGCTGAGGTGATCCTCCTGACTCAGCCTTCAAAGTAGCTGACTACACACAAATGCCACTATGCCAGGCCAATTTATTTATTTTCAAAATTATTTATTTATATTTTTTTAGAGATGCAGTCTTGCTATGTTGCTCAAGCTGGTCTTGAACTCCTGGCTTCAAGTGATTCTCCCACCTCAGTCTTCTGCATAGCTGGGATTATAGGCATGAGCCACAGTGCATGACCTGTGTGACCTTGAGCAGGCTATCAAGCAGCCTTGATTTTTGTCTTTTCTTTGCAAAATGGGGAAAATAATAGTTTCTGCTAAAAGGGTTATTAAAATGTCTTTTGAATAGAATAGCCAAACAAAGCGTGTGTTTAACTCATAATGTGTGACGTAAATGATTAACAAACAATAAAAGCATATGTCTGCTTATATTTAAAAAAAAAAAAGTGACTATTACAAATCTCCATGAATGAACTAATTTTTATTTTCTCTGAGTCTTGATTCCTAAGAATATAAAATCTTCACCTGAACTGCTCACAATCATGAAGTGTTGATTTCTGGGCAGAGATTACTACGAAATGCAATTCATTCAGGATCAAAGTACCTTAGTAAATGATAAAATTCTAATTAAAAGAAGATAACTTCTTTATAATGAAGAGATAGGGGTTTAAGTTTATAAAACGCCAATGTTACTGTGTACTTCTCTACCTATAATAAAACCACTTCTAAGACAACATTTTAATAATGTTGGCTGGTGATTTATCAACAATATTTACTTGAGAATGGCTATGAAAAGCAAACATAAAACTTCAATGTTGCAGCTGATTTCAAGCATTCCTTTTAATAGATTCTAAGTACCAATATTTCCCAGAGGTATGATCACCTCAAATCTCTCTATATAGGAAACTGTAACATGCTCAGTTTGAAACATCAAAAAACATTTAAAATAGACATCACAAGATGTATCTGTAGTTTAAAGGTCAAATTTATTAGGAGATTAAGAGATGTATTATACATGGACTATAAATACTGCACAGCTGACTTTATTCACAGTCAAGCACAGATATAGTCAGTGCCAACCTATTTTGTGGATACTCTTGTTCTTTTGTTCCAAGAAAAGTTTGCACCATAAGACTTGGACTTGGGTTTTGGAACTCTCTTCTCTTCGACATCATAGCTCCATCCTAGGGGAAAAAAACAAAGAAATCCCCAGAAACAGAATTAAAAGGGATACCTGAAGAGCCCAGCAAGCAGAGGCTAGCTTTTATAACTTAATGTTCATTTATCATCAAGAGTATATGTCAACACATCTGAAATATAAATACTTAGTATTTGTTCCTTTATAATCCTCTGTGAGAAAACGGTCCAAAAGATTGCCTGCAGATGATTTACCGTATCTCAAGTTAGTTAAAAATATAAACTATGATTCAATTTCTCCTTGCTCAATTACTGATATCGATGTATTATGTGTAAATTTCTTATTACTCTGTGGTTTAACATAGGATTTTTAAAATAGCTGCAATGAAGAGCAAAGAACAATGTAACCAATATCACTATTCTTCTAAAAGTTGGTTTATTTACAAGTCTGAAGCTCTTCCAAAGGGATACAGAAAAATATGTACATATATATATGTACGTGTGTGTGGGTGTGTATGTGTACTACACAGTTGAAGTGGACCATGAGAGGTTACTTGGTTCAATCCCTTGGACTTGGACAGGCTGATTAAACTCAAAAAGATTTTCAACATTTGTTTCAAGAGCTATCTGTACTAGGTGGAATCACATGGGAGTACCCGATAAACAGTGCAAATTGTTAGGCCTGCCCAAAGGCCCACTAGATCAGAATCTCTGGTGGAGGCCCAGGAAACTACATTTTAACTATCAATTCCAGGAGATTTTTATGCTTAAAAAAGTAAGGACCACTAATCAAAGCTGTCTGTTCTCTTCCGAGTATTTCTATTTGCCTTCCAAAGCCATTTTAGTATTTTGTAATTTAGAAAACTGGGTATATGTATGTCTACATTTTTTGCATTAAGTCCTATTCTTCACTTCTCTTAAAATATGGGAAACAAATCAACATCCTCCTCCTTAAAAATATAATTAAGCCATTCTTTTATTCCCTAAGCTAGGCAACCACTATAACATTCACTTTTCTTCATAAAATCTGTTTTTCCACACCTGTAATTTATCCTTCTTCTCTCGTGACTTTTATTCAAATAACTCATCTTGAAACATCGAATTCATAGCTGTATCATAAAGTCATGTACAAAATGTACAAAATGTGATTATTATATGGTCTAATTAAGTGAGCTTCTTGATCTTGGTAAGTACAGTACTTTCTGCCACAAAGTTTACATCTTAATAGTCCCTTAGTTAGATTCAGTTTTACCACAAAAGTTAAGCCTATGAGACTCAACTCATCAAAGTATACTACTGCTACTGTAGTAGTATAAGGAAAATAATAACATTTAACATAGTATTTTAAATTAAGCTTTTAATCTATTTTATCCATAATACTACATTCCCAACTGCTGGACCTCCATCTCCAAAGACAGTCCAATAACTATAAGGAAATGGGGAAGCAGGAAAGCAAATGAAACATCCAAGTCCAGGAGAGAAAATATTAATTTACTTGCTCAGCATAACCTTACTTTCACAGAGTAAAAAATATGTTTTGAGAACTTTCTTATCCATTTAAAAAAGTTGCAAAGCTATAGCTTACTTTAATAGAATCTAGACTTATAAAGTAAGTACGTTAACAAGTAGTTATCTCCATTTCCAAAAACTTACTAAAGGGCATAAGAATTGTATTTTATAAACTTGTCACGAGAGTTAAAGTACATGTCTTGGACTTCATAAGGACGTCATAATTCATGTAAAGTCCTCAGAAAGCACCCCAATTATCAATCACTTATTGAGTTCTATGAGAAAGGCACATTTACTAAAACCTTTATATTAAGTAATATTATCCATTGTACAGCTGAGTAAACTGAGGCTCAGAGAGGTTAGGTAGCTAGCACAAGGTCATTCAGCCAAGAAGCGGCAGAGTCAGGATTTAAACAAAGACGGCTCGATTCTGGAGGCTACGCCTTTCCTATTATGCTACATCATCTCTTGTGGTTTATAGTACTCACTCAATAAATGATAAGTATGATTTGGTCCTCAAATTTGATTCACAACTTCCTAGCAACACATCTCTATATAAATTTCCATCACATTAGAGCCCACTACATTTGAATTTGTGATGTTTCGGGTATAGCTAGCTATAATCTAACCTAGTTTTTTTTTTTTTTTTTTTTTTTTTTTTTTAAGATGGAGTCTTGCTCTGTCACCAGACTGGAGTGCAGTGGCATGATCTCGGCTCACTGCAGCCTCTGCCCACCAGGTTCAAGCAATTCTTCCGCCTCAGCCTCCTGAGTAGCTGGGACTACAGGTGTGTGCCACCACGCCCAGCTAATTTTGTATTTTTAGTCGAGACAGGGTTTCACCATGTTGGCCAGGATGGTCTCAACCTCTTGACCTCGTGGTCCGCCTACCTTGGCCTCCGAAAGTGCTGGGATTCAGGCGTGAGCCACCGCACACGGCCCTAATCTAGTTATTAACTACAGAAAGGGGTTTTGGTAAGCAAATTAATAATGGGATCTGAGCATACTAACTTTAAAATTATAAACTTCTTAAGCACTTCCCATATTAACCAGCAAATGATGCTGGTAATTACAGAAAATATTCAATTTAATAAAGGAGGTACAACAATATTTACAAAGCATTGCTATTCATTTAATAAATATTGATTGCCAATTCCATGTCAGAGACTGTTTTTAGACAATGGAGGTAGACTAGTGAAGAAAACAGAAAAATTTCATGAACTTCTTCAAGTTGGGGAAAAAAGTTAGTAAGTATATAGTAGGTGCTAACATAGTAATACCTAAATTATAAAATATGTATTATATGCCAACGAGCACTAAAGAGAAAATACTTGAGATGGGGTATACAGGGGAGCCCTCCCTCTCTGAGAACTGGGCAGAGAACAGTAACTGCAAAGGTGCTGAGGCAAGAGAACTCCTGGTGTACCATGCAGTATGCCCTATGCCCCGTGCTGAGTGCTTTAAATACATTTTTATTGAAATTTTATGTATGGAGTTTATAGGTTATATGGCTATAAGGCAGGCATTATATATATCTTAATTTTATATTAACTTATAAGAAAAAATATAGCACAGAGAAAATAAACAGCCTAAAGTCACAGGGTTAGTAAGTGACAAAGCCAGGATTTTTAACCGAGATGGACTTTAACAGCTACCTACTTCATTAATAAAACTGCCATTTCTTTAAAAATACCCTGCAATCACAAATTTTATCTATTTCATTCATTTCCTTTTATTTGAAAAAGTATGTTGAAAAGACTTTTAAGAATCCCTGGAAAATAAATCTATGTTCCACATATGCTCTCCCACAATTGTGAGGAAGGAAATGGTTTCTAGTGTAGATTCTGTATTTGGTTATAATGATCGATGGCAAATTCACCCAAGACCTTCATAATCTTTCCTTGCCAAATGATAGGTAAAAAACCTAAGTTCTCCCTCCTCTCACTACCTCCCAACACACACTCTCCAGATCAACAACGACATTAGGAAAGAAACTGCAGAAGAAATGAGAAAGCACTCAAATATTTAGGAACTAGTACTATACACGCAAACACAAACTTGATAATCACTCTCTAAGTCACTCAATTACTCTTTCAGCCACCAGGGAGAATTCTTTTTACTACATCAGATCTCCAACACAGATCTATTATCTATTCTGGTTATGAAGTTTCAAAATGCGGTCAGGGTCACTGCAACGTGAGAAGAATGAAGTTTTATACACATAAAAGAACAACTGGTTTGGGTAGTTTTATACACAAAAGAACAACTGGTTTGGGTTTTCTCCTGGTAACTAAGGAGTGAGCTGGCTCTTGGGAATTGTGAGCCAGATTACAGTTGCTGTTGGTGGTGATAACAACAATAAATAGAAGTATCATGACAGGGATTGGAATGTGGATGGTCAAAGCACCCTGGGAAAAACAAATAAAAATATACAGAGAAGAAGCCTGCATTTGCTAATAGGATCCATCTCTATATAATTACCACTGGCCACTCATGATTGTTAGGATGTGTAAGGCAAAAAATTTATTATTTTTCCATTTTTTTTTGTGGCAAACAAGTTTGTTTCTAAAGTTGTACATGCAACTGTAAAAACTAAGTAAATGCAAAGGAGTGTATGAGGAAATCCAATGACAATTCACAATAGAGACTGAAACTAAAATCAGAATCCCTTTGGATTTTCTATTCATTATTCAGAAAACTTTTCTACTATGTAGGGCTGTCATCATAAGAAAAATTTGCCGTTTTTTGAGATACTGTTAAGAATCTGATCACATTTCCAAGCATCCCCCTCCAAAGTATTTATCTTAACAGTGCCTGGATAAACAAATTTACTGGTACCACTATACTCGAATATAAAGGTTACTTGAGCAAATGGTGAGGTTGAGCTAAAAAGATAAGACTCTAAGAATAACAACACTTGAAAGGACATTAAGCATGTGTGCTTAAGAATGGGTAAGTTATGCCGGGCATGGTGGCTCACGCCTGTAATCCCAGCACTTTGGGAGGCCGAGGCAGGTGGATCACGAGGTCAAGAGATCGAGACCATCTTGGTCAACATGGTGAAACCCCGTCTCTACTAAAAATACAAAAAAAATTAGCTGGGCATGGTGGTGCGTGCCTGTAATCCCAGCTACTCAGGAGGCTGAGGCAGGAGAATTGCCTGAACCCAGGAGGTGGAGGTTGCGGTGAGCCGAGATCGCGCCATTGCACTCCAGCCTGGGTAACATGAGTGAAACTCCGTCTCAAAAAAAAAAAAAAAAGAATGGGTAAGTTAGATGAATTGTACTCATATTTTCTACTTCTCATGTGAAACTTGTTCCTAAAAAGAAAGAATATCTTGCAAGAAATAAAATTTAGATATATTTCATATAAGAGTATCTTTTTTTAACTCTAAATTTTTTTGTTGTTGTTAAAGAAAGAGCCCAAACTTGTTTTTCTGAATGGAAACATGGAAGTGAAAACACTCGCACTCTCTGAAGAATGCTTATATAAAATGAAGGTGTAGTCTATAATCACAATGGTCCCATATGTTGTCCTAT